AAACCAGAAAAGGGTGTTTTACTAAAGCAGTTTTTCCCCTTAGCCAAAATGTCTTAAGGCAGCCAGACTGGAATCAGCACATGATCCATGCAGGAGATGGATAGCAGGACCCTTCATCTGTAAGGCTCATTAGTTCAATTCCAGCCCACACTGGTAGGCACTGAAAATTTTATTAAGTAACGGCTGTTCAGAAGCCATCACACACAGTCCATTGGAAATGTACGCTTCAGCCCATCTCAGAAGACAGGCTACAGATTTTGTGCTTCTGGAGACATTTTCCTCAATCCCTGTCAATTGCCCCTGAAAAACAAGTTAAAATAGTTTGGTACAGCGTGGAAATTTGCAGTGACATTGTCAGTGTGCCTTAGTAATCAGGTCCATTCTCCCAGCATTACATACAATTAAACTGAAAATAAATTGGTCCAACAGTAGTAGGGAAAAAAACCACAGCCTGGTTTCCTGCATATTTGTGCCCTATTTCCCATTTAATCTCTCACCACAGGGAGTTATAGATGGGGATTTGTACTGTGGAGCGATCGCACATCCTCTGCCGCCCCAGGAAGTCAGGCTGACAAAAGATTGCTGCCAAGATATCAAGAAGATAAAGAGATATAAAACCAATACCAAACCCACCTACAGCCATGAAAGCTCATTCCCACACTTACCTGTGTTTGCATAAATACCAAACATCCCCAACGGGCACTGAGATTTATGTACGAAAAGAAAGATCATGTAATTTGCGGAGACGGTCCAACTACTCATTAGCACTCTATACCATAAGGGCGGCGGGGGGGAGTGGGAACAAAAATAAAATCAAAAGCGGAACAATGTTTACTGATTTACCTAGGATAGCCAAGAACACAAAATATTCATAATTGCAGAGGTTTTGTTATCAATGCATTACCAATACACCAGTTCATGTTGTTCTTCACACTAGGGTAGATCTTTGAGAGTCACGCTGATCTCTGGCTATGCTGTCAGAGATCAGTCACACTGATGCACCTGCCTAGCATACTGGCTATTAGCCAAGTATAGGACTTACACTCCAAACAAGGATCTGTTAAAATGCAAATACTACTTGCCCGTATTCTATTCGCATAAAGGCAAATATCAGCAGGTGACAGAGGCAGTTATTCTGTCTGCGCACCCCCGTTGTTCACTACGTCACCCAACATCCAGCCAAGAAGCCTACAACACTGCAGCCTGCTTGCTCCCTCACCCCAAGCCCTGCATTTTGTTCCACATTTTATTTTAATCACTCATATCTAGCAGATTTCAATTTTGCCTCTTTAGAAGTCATTTCCCAATAGTCCACTTTCCATTAAAAACTCTTTTTAAAGATTCAAAGCCTTTTAGCATTTCAGTGTGCTCATCTTAAGGAAAAAAGCACAGGCAGCTCTACATGAAAGCCACCAAAAACTTGGGGCGCAGTAGCAATGAAAAAGTCTGAAGTATGAGTATGTCTCATTTGTTCAGTCTTTAAAACAAGTTAAAGCCAAGTCTCAAATTCAGTAAAGAAAAAGAAAATGAATGGGTGAAAACAACTCTCTGCCTAGAACCTCTCCCCCCATACATCTAGAAGGATGAAATTTTGCTGTTAATATGACCTCAAGCACTACCACCCATTCAGTTAAACAAAAGAAAAATGAAAAAAATAATTCATTTGTACCTTAAGAAATGTAACGTTCACCCCTTCTAGGATTCTTCACAGGAGCACATCTATAATCTAACATACTATTGTACCTAAATTACTTGATATAAAGATACATTAATCCAATGGTGGGAAACTCAAATCCTCACATCTATACCCTCAAGGAGATCTCTAAAGGTCAGACACAGTAACTGTGTGTCCGACTATGAAAACAAGGAATAGTTATTTTGTAAAACATTTTTATTCCCTGAGATTTGCTGGTCTCCAGACTCCTTGTGAATTAGAAATGATTGAACTCGGTATGCTGAGAAGCAACATTCGCCACAGCGGAGCGAAAGCTATACTTCTAAAGAGCAGGACTTTCTATTTACTCAGTTGCCAGAACTTGATGAATGTGTGCACTGGATGAAATGAAATCTCACACAGAGGTGTTAATTCAGTTATTGTTTTGAGATCTTCATTCTAAAGCCTTGGAAGAGACAGTCCTACAGCAACAACAGACCTTTGAAAGCTGCAGTGCGAGGAATTAAAACAACCTGATTAGATTTTATACTGTAAGTGATCTAGAGACATACTTGTATGTATTAGAACAAAAATAGGCAGACTGTTTCTCTGCATCTATAAGCATTTCCAATACAAAGTTTGCTTCGTCATTGGAAATGTCGTATGTAATAATAAACGTGTATATAACCTGCATATCATTCAAACGTCTGTCACTACAGCTTCGCTATCACTTCTAACAACTAGGTAATGCCAATTGTGAGACTCAATGGCAAATGATTTGAAATAGTTTTTGATAAACTGTTCCAGTGAATTCACACACACCGTAAATACACCCACCCTGTTGATCCTGGCATTGATATCCAGGATTTTTACTTTCAGGCTGCATGCTCTATTTATTCTAATTCCCCAATATAGAAGGGTGTGCCTGTGCACATCCACACATGCAAAAATTCAGTTGCAACACCACCCGTCGGTTCGGCATGGATCCACATTCGACTCGAGCAAGCTAAAGCACTTGCCCTGACCCTGAAAACATCTGGAAGGGCACACGCACAGAGCTGGAAAACAAAATCTGCTGTTGATTGCTCCACATCCCTTGCTGTGACTGTTTTTCTATTTTGAAATATCCACATTCAGTTTAAGCAAGATTCACGGAAAAACAATTATTTACTATGAAGTACAGGAGTAGTAGCATCGACTCAACCACTGAGCCTCTGCACTGCACTGAGATTTAACCTTCATTAATTTTAGTCACACGTGGTTGTGGGGAGGAAACAACTTACCACTTCAACAAAGACAGCAAAAGGTTTAAGGACATTTCAACTCCAGAGCTGGCTTCCCAGGAGATCCATTTACTTAATACATATTGTGACTTACAGATGAGGTGTGTCGCTTCCATTAACTACAATGCGAATTGAAGTTTCTACTTCCATTTTGACTTATTTAATGGGGAGTTAATGGTTCATAAGAACTCATAGTGAAATAAATTAAATCGTTGCAGACACATGCAAAGCTTTCAGGAAATTCACACCTCTCCTCACCATACTCAATTTAACCATCTTTCTTGCAGGACCAGTTACATTTGAACAGAAATTTTAACTTTCCGGTTTTTAGCAAACACTGAATCAAGCATTAAAAAGCTGAGAAATAAAGTTTATTATGCCATTCAGTCAGGGAGTTGCAACCTTTTTATTTCTCTAAATTTTTGTTTATATTTCAAATGACTCCACGGTCAGCATCTAGCCTTAGTTTCGGCGGCTGTTCCCACCACATTCTCCAGATAAGTAATTCAAGTGCCGCTAGCACGTAAGAATAAAGTGCTGTCCAACATGCCAGTATTACCTATGTATAATCAAGAATACTTCCCAACAAGGTGATACAGATACTATTCTTTCATAGGCATCAAATGCCAAGACTCTATAGCACATACACTGAAAAAAGATAAAACACTCGCAGTATTGATTCCAGACCCTCGAACACTCTGAAAGAAAAAAAAGACTTGGGGTTGGTTTGGTTTTTTTCCCACTTGATATAAGCATGATACAATCATGATGCAGTTTTCTACTTAAATTAATATTGCACTGTATGAGTTACTTTTATGGCAGTCAGGCCACATTACAAAAACAAAACAGAAGAGAGAGAGTCCTGCTCAGCATGTAAACACAATTACCGGGGAATTCAATTTTGCCGAGACCAATCATCGTTTTTAAGTTTCAGCAGACATAATTGCAAGAAAAACCAGCACAGGAGGAAGAATACAGTGTATTTTTAAAAGCCACCCCAGTACCAGCTAACAGTTCTTCAACACATAGTCGTATTAACAACTGTTTTTTTGGTTCTCTTGCCAGTAAAACCTGCATACTCTTATCGGTCTGACCTTGAGCAGCTCCAACAGCAAGCAGTTTCCCCCAAGGATAACAGCAGAGAGGTTCCACCAACATGACCTGGACTTTGTTCACCATTTCAAGCACCCATATATGATAAATCATAACAATATGCAGCACGGAACTCTGCCTAGCTTACAAAGTTTAAAAAATAATCACAAAAATAAAAATCAGGACAGAGTAGTAACTTAACATCAGGAGTAACAGCCACCTGTACAAAGTGCTGACTCTAGAGGGGTAAAGCACTTCATCAAATTACAGTATGCTGCATAAATGCAATGCTAAGACTACAGATCAACAAGTCGAGAACTGTGTGATTTGACAGGAGAATAAAGACATTAATTTTCTTTTGAACTTTCCATGACTACATGCGAGTTCTGCCATTTCAGAGGTGTCCATAAACTCATGTTACTAAACTTAGAGTGACTCAACAAGCAACCTTCTAAAAGCTGCACGTGAGACCCGGCATACAACAATGTTAACGCTCCTACCAAGCTTCAGAGAAAGAAGGTTTCAGCTTTACTTAACCACACCAAAACAAAAACTGAACAGAACTTTGCTCTCCGGTAGCATCATACTGGCATAAGAAGTCAGATGGTAAAGAGTAAGCTGGAGTATTAGCAACAAGGGAGCTAAATAAACTACTGTTGTATTACAAATAATTGCGGTCTAAATATTTGTTAAAACTAAACACATATGCATAAAAGCTACGTGGAGTGAAAGACCAAAGTCATCAAAATGTGTAATTTTCAGGAAGAAATGACACGTTTTGGCATTTTGGATTACCGTCCCCTTTCCACCCGCAATCCCCACGGACAGGTTCAGAGAGCAGACCTCCGAGCCGAAGCACGGGGGCCCTCGCTGCCAGCCGGACACGCCGCTCCCCACGTCCATCTCTAACGCCCTGACCAGCTAACGCGGGGGAACCGAAGGGGTGTCACGGAAAACCGAGGTGCACTCACCGTTCCGACTTTCTTCATCAATAGGAACTATTGTGGCTGGAGGACCTGTTCTGGCCAATTTGCAATCTATAAAGATGAAAAGAGAAGTTATTTCCAATTCCAGAGGAAGGATCCTGGGGTTTTGTTGCTGTTTTTTAAAACAAGGTAGCACATTCGGCATACTGAAGACAAGTATTCACTTAAATATTATAGCTAAGTTACACTCACAGCGGATCAGAATCTGAGCTGTTTGCTTATCCCTCAACTCAGATAAACCATGTAAAGCAAAGGAGAATCTGGTGACAAAGGATTTAACATCTCAGATGCTCATCCATATTTAAAACAAACACTTAAACAGCAAAAACTTAATATGGTTTGTTCTCTTATCTCTTAAGTGAGCCTTCCTTTCCATGACATGAACACACACAGGCCCCAAATTGTTGTCACATACCACCACAATACAGTTTGACGGCTACACTATAAACCTGTTACGTGTCTTGCTCTAGAGATACCACCAGAGATCTCAGTGAAGCATAAGTCCTCCAGGACAGAGATAATACGATGGTAATTTAACCCAAAGAAACAACAGAGGAATGATTAAAAGGTATAAATCATAATTAAAGCTTCACAACAGAAACAAACATAAATTGAATTTAATTGCAACAAAAGGATCTAATTAAAGAGAGTGAACAGAATTTTAATAATGTTCAAAGGAAAATAAGAATTAAAAACAGACGAGCAATGTTCAGGAAGTTACATTGTGCCATCTTACCCTCATATTGCCAGTCTGGAGTCAAAAGTTTAGAGTCATCAATGGAAGCAGAGCAGAATAACAAAAGAAAATAAGTAAGATTTTGTTGGTTTACTCAAAAGATAGGTTCAAAGACATAAAGCAGTACATGCAGAGCTAGCAAGTGCATAGGTGTAGTCTTAAAATATATAAAAGCATGTGTACTACATGTGATGACTATACTTTGTGAACAATTTGGTTTTCTACATTAAATAGAAGAAAAATATTACCTCTTTAAAGCACACAGAAATAAAAGTTAATTAAGAAGTGCTTTTCATTTTCAGAGAGTCACACAGTACCACTGAAACAGCATGACAAGAAACAACCATACTCCTTCCCATTACACCATGGAGAACTGTACGTGAGATTGCAGTCCGCATTTTAAAGACATTTAGGTGCTCCTCCGATCCTCCTGACACAGCCTCGGCCCTGTGGATGGCTACAGCCCATTTGTAAGAAATAGCTTCTAATTAGTTTCTAGCCAAGGAGAGACATGCTGGAGTATCACTGTATTTTTTTTTTTTTTTTTTTTTTGAGAGGTCTAAACACTTTACACAAAATTCCCAACAGAAAATCATCTGTAAATTAAACACAAGAGCAAGCTGAGGTAAAATGCTATTTCCCAGCTTACAGTAAAAAATTACACATTCATCGACTTCAAAAGAATTGCGCTGCAGCTAATTACAGACTATAATTACCCCAGCACAGACAAGACCTGTGAAGGAAGATCAAAACAGAGAAGCATTTATTCAGATCTCCGTTTAGGTGAAGCCTCTAAAGGACATCTCCGTGGCATGGTATTTTCCCCAAGCAACAGCTTTGCTATTCAGCTGATGAGTTCAACCGCAAGACCCAACTTCTAAACACCAAGGGTGAGGACTGATAGCACGGCATTAAGGCTGTTAATATTTATGAACAGCCTGAACGACAGCTGAATTAATACTAAAGATAATACAGTCACGGTGTAATTACTTTTTTATTGTAAAATAGACAGACAGGCAAACCTTGCTCTGAAGGTAAAATACAGAGAGTTTGCATGGGTACCCACTCGTTCTCCTTCCTTCCATCAGTGACATCGCTGGTAGAGTTTCACAAAACCACTTGGTTTGCTATCCTAAGCACTCTAAATAAAACTATTTAATGAACAAATTCTCAGTACTTATTCCTTTTATTCTTATATGCTCTAGTTTGGTACATAAAAATTGAGTGTTTTCTGTTGATAATTTTAAAGCTTTTTAAGGCATTAACAGAGCAAACAGACCATCTGAAAAACTACACCTTTCATTTCGTTGTAGTTAGCTATGAGCATATCCCATGGGAAGATAAGTTATGTTTACATATCTACGTGAAATAAGGATTTTTTTTCCCCACTCTTTTTTTTTCCCCACGACTGGATGCTGTAAGAATAGCAGCACCATAACAGACGCAACTCTAACCTCTTCCAGAGCCATGTGTTATAATCCAAACTTTTACTGAGACTTTGTTTTCATGTGAACACTCCTGCTATTCACCGATGAACAGCCATCACCGCGCACACAACCAAAGAAGAATCCAAAGCAAGGACAATTTTTTAATTCTAAAAACTGCATATGCCTTACCAAAAGAATAATCATGGGTTTTGTTAAAAAGTGAATGAGCTTTTCCCCATCATCTATGTTTCCATGAGGAAGTTTTCTCCTTGCTGGGGGTCTCAATAAAAAGTTCACCCAAATCAGGCCAACCTCTAATTCTATTCTCCAATAAGCAAATTATCAAAATTACATGTTAGCAGCTTTTTCACAGGATTGGTTTTCCATCAAACACATCAGGGATTCCAGAACTATAATCAAAGCAGTTATAAGGTATGTTTAACATGATCCTTCAGCATTGAAAGCTGGAAACAGTGTCTCAGAGAAGAGGCAGACTATACAGTTAAGTTCAATGATTTGCAGGGGATTTATTGCAAGTGTGAAGAGGTGAAGCAATAAAATTTATCATGAGAAAGTGCAATGAAAAGAAGATATTAGAGCCCAAACTATTTCTATAGCTAGGGTTGAAAAAAAAAAGTTAACAGGATATAGTAGAATTCTTGCTGTGGATTACCCTCATGGCACCAACAAAAGATTGCTGAAGAAACATGTAGTTTTATTGCATAGATTAGAGTTTATAGATTATTTCACATAATTTCAACCATGTCAGCACCAGCCAAATATCAGATTACATTTAAGATGCCTGTCACCCCTCCCTCCCCTTCTCAAAGACCAAACCTAATAACGCCACAACCTTTAGTTTCACATTCATCACCATACACTGAACAGATAAGGTTAAAATTGTAGTCTTACACAAATTTCCAATTCAAAGGGAGACAATAGTTTTAATTAAAAACCTTAAAGACAAGTTACATGTAAACTATGGGTGGTACCTTTTTTTTTTTCCCCTGCGCAAAATACAATCGGTAAGTAGCAGCAGCAAGACCAAGTGCTCAAGCACTGTGTTTTAGCACCAGGCACCAGCCAGACCTGGTGGGAAATACTGGACCCATCAACACAAACATCTTTAGACTGAGCCAGGTGCACAGAAAGGTTATTCCCACCATGAGGAGGATGGAGAGTCCATCTTATAAAGGTGACAGAAGCTTGAATTAGTCTAGGAAAATGAAAGGTCTCTAGAAATACACTTGGGTAAATATCAAGGAGGAAATAAGAGCACAAAGAACACTATGAGCACAAAGGAGGAATGGCTGCACGCTGCCCACAAATGTGAAAAGTACACTTCTGGCCTGAATTTTTTTTTTTTTTTTTGGACTGGCAGAGAAGGTAGATCCTGGAATACTGTTCCACAGCAGGAACAACACAAAAATGCAATTTCAGCATTTTTTTTAAAACATACCTTTATTTGCTTATGAAAGGGATGACATGAAATGCTCCTCAGCAAGATGATGAGACCTTTTTCTCAAGCTTTATTTAAGTGTTCCTCAACAGAAATTATTTCAGCATTAATAGATTGCTTTATTCAACATAAACAAGCATAGATGAAGGAAATATTTACATAAGACTTTACTTTCCTGCTCTTTTGTTTTCAAGCGCCCTATTTCTGATTTTGGGCCTCAGCATAAATCTATTAGCTATTTTAACTATTCAATTTCACGCTGCAGATTAGGAATACTGACGTACACCTAACTAACAATTCAAATTTTTAATAAGACTACTGGAATTGCTAAGATAGGATTGTTTCTTTCCATTACATAATTTCTTTGAAAAGAGGCGTCGTGCCCCATCAAACAGGGGGGAACACCGCACAGACAGAGGCCATCTGACTTCTCTTACCCACGGAAGGAACCTCTGCTCTGCTGGAAGCGCAGGGAGAAGCGACACGGAGAACCACGGGCTATTTGTTCTGACCTTCTCAACAAACAGCAAGCTGTCCTTGAAATTCCTGGGTATAACGGAGTAGTCATGGAAGTCAAATCATACTAAACTAAACACGCTTTAAGAAAGGCAGAAAAGGCACTACCTAAAAAAGCTTCTCTATCTACAGTTTTCATGATATGTTTTATGTTTAAGCAGCAGTGCTGGTAAATATAATTATGATGTAGCAGCGCCCTCCCCTCGGGCACCTCAGAGAAAAGGCAGTAGGCATCAGGCAAATAGAACTTAGTAAATAAAACAACAAGCTATGAAGGTTTTCCTAAAAGCTTCCAAAAAGCATTTTTGTTCCTGTCATTAACTGCACTCTTTCATCTAACTAGTGCGTTTGCTTCGCAATTACATGATCAAGGCAAAGGGAGATAAATAAAGGGCCTGTCTCCTTGGGAGCAAAGCGAAAATCTATTTAACAAACTCTTCATGGAACAGTTACATGGCTCAGATCCATTTGGTTTCTGATGGCTAATCTTCATTATTTTATTTTCTAATTATTTTTAATGAGATGGCTCAGAGGAAACCCTCAATTGTTGTTCTAGGTAAGATGCTCAGCAAGGTCAAACAGTCCAAGCTGAAGCAAACATAACAACTTGAATAATCCCACACTCTACCCACGGGGAGCTGCCTGATCATCCTCCTTTCACCTCGCCCTTGCCCTCTCCAAGCCACCTCCCATCCAGCGCTTACATTACTGAGAGGCCTTCTTTCCATTATTTCAACTTCACAGCTAAAGTAAACAGAAACAGCTACAAAAATGAAAACAAATGTTCCTGAATAAGCTAAGACAAGCGTGGGAAGTGACCTGCAACACAAGAAGCTCTAAAGACACCTGAGCGGAGGCAGTGCCACGACATGCCGGGGGCTAACCTGCCTGACAGCCACGGGCCCCTTCTGAC